TGTGTGCTACATGAGTGGTGGAGTAGGATCTCTTGTCATGCTTCCAAGGACACTAGTTGCTGCTTGTAGTGTAAAAGTTCCCTTATAGTCAAACAACACAGGCAAGAGCTTTTTCAATGACTGCTACACAGATATACTTGATGTGGAAAAATCAGCCATCTTTGCGCATTTATTTTGACACAGTCATAATATGGTCCATAGGGTATAAAGAGAATACATAACTGCATGGTATAGTGATAATAGCACGAGTTGTGGACAGCTGCTTGCTTCATGCTGATTGTTCCCTGGTTTTCATCTATCATCTGCCCACCTTATACTATGACCGTGATTATGTTTTCTTAAAGATTTATTCAACTGAACACACACACTGTATCTTTTCTTTCTATTTTGTAGGGAGTGAGTTTTCTTGAAGATTTGTTTGTTTCATATATGATTTTGCAAGTGGAGTTTTGTGAAGATGGGAATATGCAGTGAACTTTATTTGTGTACAGCTGGGCACTAGGTGATGGGATGTAGCCCAATATTTCTGTTATGAATCGCCTTTAGCCAAAACTGCTTCCCATCTTTCTGCCTTTCAATGCTAATGCATGGAAGTAGGTTGAACTATGAGGCTGGACAGCTGAAGTAGGAACAAGGAAGGGCTGATTGTGTGTGAGGATGGCCAGTAATGTCATGGGTTGTTATGCCAGGGGGAAGCATTTAGAGATTTCACTCCTGAAAAGAGGGCAGGGCATTGGAAAGAGACATTTAAATTGTCATGGGACAAGAGATATCTGCTGTGAAGTTGTGCTTGGAGCCTACCCAGGAGGTTTTATATCTTACAGATAAAATTTAGTTCTTTAGATGCATTGCCAGAGTATCACCATTTAGTATATTCAATCCATGTAAATACCTTAGTGTCAAGGTTGATGGTTCTTTTGTGAAGCGTTTAGATTATTGATTTCTATAGGATGTTTTGGATAGGAATGATCCCGTCTCAGACAGGGGTTGGACTAGATGACCTCTAGAGGTCCCTTCCAGCCTTACTTCTCTATGATTCTCCATGATTCTAAAATTATTTTTAGAGTTTAATCTCTATTAGATTAAATTGAATCCAGTATAAATGTAAACATAAAAAGAGGTCTCCTTTCCCCCTTTAACTACTAGAACAGAGTTACATATTTCTCTACAGGACTTTCATCGGTTAACATTTATTCTCTGCCCAAAAGGTGAAAATTAACAGGCTGCTCTATGTCTGAGTGCTTCTCCTTGTCAGTTTCCCATCAAGGGCGGCACTCAGCTAACAAGGAAATCTGGGTAGGCATGAATATATGCCAGAAAAAATCTCAGAAGATACTTAATTTATAGCATCCAAATTGGATACAAAAAAAGACTTGTCAGAGTTTTCTAATTTTTTTTTTTTTCTCAAAAGCAGGAGCTTTTAATGTGAAATGTGTCTCTACTTTGGCTGAAGGTAAGTATTAAACTTAGAGGTCTCTTGACTTTGACTTGTCATAATATCAAAATACGATGTGCAAATTTCTTTAGTTCAGAATGTAAGATAAGATTTAATGAAGGTTTAATAAAAGCAGGTTATTGTGTATTTTAAGAACAAGCAGTTCTTCATATTTGAGGGAGATAACAGCTTTTTTTCTATGTTAACTGCAATTGAAGTAGATAACTCCTCTCATAGATGGGATCCAAATTAAACAAAAAACAAGAAACGTATTTTTCATGTTGAGGATAAAACTGTTTAAGAGGCTATTACCCAGTACAATATCTGATCCTGGTGATGCCTCAGTTTCCTGCAGTGAGACCATAGATTTACCCTTCTGATTAAATCATAGAGTTCATATCTGTTGCCTTAGAAATAGTATTTAAAGGTTTGTTTTTTGGGAATTGGCTTATAGGTATATGTATTTGTATTAGAATGGTTCAGGATGGACACCAGGGATTAATTGATTTCTAAAAAGCTTGGGGGTCATGCACATAGTTTCACACAGCCTTCAAAGCAAACAGGATGTCTAACACAAGGCCAGCGGAAATACACAGTCTGAGAAACTGGGGGCATGTACCATACTGTTCCATAACATGAGATAAGGTGGCATCAGCTAACAAGGCCCCAGAGCAGGGGGTGGGGAGTGCTGAGTCCTGATTTTGGGCGAACAGACCAGATTAGGAGAAGACCTGGAAAGACCCAATTAGTATGCGTATATACGATGAGCTACGTGGATGTATGACAGCCATACAGAGAGACCAGTCAGCGATAGTCATGGATGAAGAGTCATCAGGAGGGAAGGAGAATACAAAAGAAGAACTTGAGAGTAAGGAAGGGTCCTACCCAGGTCCCTTCTCCCCATCCTGCCCGGCTCTTCCTCCTCAAGAGGGCTCCCTGTCCCCTGGGAGGGTCCCAAAGCCACCATGGGCAGAGGACACACCACCAGCCCATCTCATCCACCCCACTGTGGGGGGGAGGCTCAGTATCCCACCCCCAGGCTGCTGACAACTGGCACCTGAGAGAGAGCCTCAGAGTGAAGACTGCATCCTGGCCTGGTGTACTTTGACTCTGATGACAGCCTTAGGATTTGGTAGATATATAGAATTGCTTGATTGTTTGTATCATTTCTTTTCTGTTATCACTGTATATCAATAAATTTGTCTGTTATCGAATGGGAAGGTCGTGGTCAGTTTAAGGGTAGGGGAGGGTCCTTCCCTGGAACAAGGCATCTGGGTCCTAAATCCACAGCCAACAATATCCATCCACATTCTTCCATAGATCACCAAATGCTAATGAGGACTCCAGACAGAATACATGGATGTCCAGCAACCATATTGTGGATCTTTCCCCGTTTGATCTGTTTGACCGTGTTTTGTTCTCCTTAGGCTATAGTTCATCTCCTGTGATCACTATACCATTTGTCTTGTTAATGCAAGTCATTTGAAGGGACTGACACCTGTTCAATTGCCATACATAATCCTCCCTAGGCTACCTCCTTCCAGAGATGCTGGATCTCCACTCTGCTGTATCAGGGTTCCAGAATTATTCTTGAATTCTGAGGGGGCAGGAAACAATTCCAAGGATGGACACTGATCTTAACAAAGTAATATTTTACCTAAGCAGAGCAATCCCTTAGCCCATGTCAAAGTGTAATGCAGAAAGAGAATACTATGGGAAGTCACACGTGCATATTCCCCCAGGAATAATACTGTGCCACTGGGGGGAAAAGAATCCCCAGTGCCTTAAACACAGATGATTATTTTCTAATCTCTAACCTGATAAACAGTTCAAGCAGCTTCTGGCAGACATTTTTGTCCTGGAGGACAGGGACTTCTGCAGCAGTCATCAATATTTATGTGCACTGGGCAATCATCTTTGATGACTGGGGTCTTACTTTTGTTGTTTTATCATCTGTGTCACTATACATCTGCCAGTGCAACTGAGTGGGCCTGGGCTGCCCAACTAATTCCAGCTATGTGCTGGATAAACCTCTCTCTCAGTTCAATCTTACATCAGTCACACTCCTTCTCAATATGCAAACCAAAATTTTGCCTACAGAAGTGCTCTCACAAGCCCTTCTTTTTGTGCCACCTGAACAACCTAACTTTAGCCAAGTGACTCACAGTTTTCCAAATGGATTTCTGAAAGTCACCTCCAATCCATAACATTTTTAAGAAACAGGTCGATACTTATCTGTAAAAAGTCATCTGTTACTCCTAATTGATAAATATACAGTTTGATAATGAGAATAATCTGAACAATCAGTGTGCAACTAAAGCAAATACTCTGTTACACCTATAGCAAGTATCTTAATTTAGAAATATTTTTATTGTGTTCAGGCATCCTATATTTCATTTGATCTGTTTTTATTATATTTAACAAACCATCCCTCTTGCATTCCTAGCAGTCACTTTTAAAATTCCATGATGCTTTGCATGCATATGCTAGCTATAATATGAGGTGGAATTCAGAAGAGGTGCATTACGAGCACAAAGTAATTGTAAGCTTGAAAAGGTTCCTTTGCTCCATTTATCATCTCTTCATATCACCAGTTTCCTGTCTATTGATTTCTACTGAGGAGCTATGAAAGATATTCATCTATCAAGTACTTCTTTGTTGTATGTTGTTTTAATATGCATTTTTTGCCTTAACATATTCTTATTTCTTTACATGAATGGGAATAGAGCATTACACATATATAATACTTGACTGACCTAGCCAAAATGCAATAATTTTGGGCTACATTATACATAATTCATTACTGAAACTGAATTACAGTGATCATAAAAACTCATTTATACCAATGAGAGTTTTACGTAAGCAAAAATGAATGATATAGTTAGGCCATATTTCTAAAATAATGTAATGATTTATTGAATGAGTTGTCTCATCAGTATATTGAAATATGTACACATTTAATACACAAAAGAACTAACATACCATGAAGGGATTTTTCTGAGACTTCTCATGTGTATTAGGTTATACCTGTGCAAAAGTGTGTACAGGAACTAGGTCATATTGCAATGTATTTGAGTGTATTATAGCTCACAGTAATACAGCATTACTGTAAACTGTATTACTTCTAAATGAGAATTTCTACAAAGCAGATTAGGAGAAAAATGCTGTTAGGAGAATAAAGTGGAACTTCCTAAACTATCAGCTAAAGAGAATTGAAAAAAAATGCCTACAATCTCCTATCTTCTTTCCAAAAGTAATCAATGGACACACATGCAATAATTCTGTCCGTAGTGACACACTATGCAGACTGATGCTCACTGGGCTAAAGAATTCCAGAAATTTTAATAAAATCAGCCTAGACACCAGGAATGGAATTCTATTTCTCTTTGTGGCAGCTTTCTTTCTGCAAATGTGGCCTTTTTGACACACATCTGTTGCAATTCTGCTCCCCCTGCATTGTGGATGCATAAGTATAGACTAAACATGCACAGTCGGCAATGTGTTGCCTGAGCAGGTATATGGTTATAATATAGTTAAGTCCTGGAAAAGTAACAATGGTAGTAGTAGAAGAGGTTTTTCTATTTTAACTCCAATAGTAGAGTGATTAAAGTATTTTCCCAAAAGGCTTCCTTTGCCCTGGGTAGGCTGAACCTGTGTCCCTTTGACTTTTTTCAGTGTGCCTTTTGAAGCTGCCAGCTGAGAGCCAGGGGGAAGGTGGGTGGCTTAGTGAGCTACTAGTAATAACCAGCCTGGTAAACCAGCCAGAACCTAGGCTCTAGCCCAGAGGCGGGCAAAATATGGCCCGCGGACTGAATCTGGCCTGCCGGGGAATTCTATCCAGCCTGCAGGGCCCTTAAAAAAAAAAAAAAAAATTTAGAAAATTAATTATTATCTGTCCATGGCTGCCTATCTAAGCTGATGAGGCTCCAGTGGCAGCAGGACCCAGGAAGAGTTGGTGGCAGGATCCAGGGGCATCAGCAACAAGTCCTGTCCAGCCTTGCCCTACCCTCGGCCCCCAACTGGAAGCCTCTGCCTAGTGGAGGCTTCTGGCCTGGCAACCCTGGGGCAGTTCTCCCCACCCTCCCTCCATCCAAGTGTGCAAACTCAGATAAAAACGGGGGAGGGGAGTATGCTAGTAATCGTCCCAGTCCACGGGAGCCAGGACAAGCTGGGATGGCTTCTGCTGCGTTCTGTGGTCCCAGCTGAGCTGGGGCCAGGCTGGCTCTGTCTGCAGGAGCTGGCCTGGCCTCGCGATTTCCAGCTAGCTCCTGCTGCATCCTGTGGTTCTTCCCATGTAGCCAGGAACTGTATGCTGCCAGAGTGGCGGACAGGGGAAAGTGGCAGTGGGCAGACAGGTGGGAGTGCGGCGGCAACAGCTGGGTGGGAGCACGGGGCCCACACTGGGGGCCCAGAGCAGGGTGGCAGGAGTGTGGAACCCAGGCTGGCAGGGGCTCTATGGAGCTGGGCTGGCACCCCGCTTTCCCTGCCAGTGGCCTGGCCACTCAATCCTGGGACTGCAGTGAGGGGGGCAGTATTGAAAGGGCAGCCTCACATGCACACCCCGCCCCACCATACACATGTACCCACACCCCCATGCACAGCCCACACCCACACTCCCTCACACATCCCAGCCACCCCCACCTTCCATATACGACACAACCCTCCCTAGTCACACTTTCCTCATACACTCACAGTCCCTGACAAACTCCATATTCACCCATAACCCCCCCACATGCTCCCTCACCCCACATACACACACTTCCCACCAAACTCCATACCTATCCACCTCTCTGCAAACCCTCCCACACACCCATACACTCCCTCACACATCACATACACATATACCTGCCACACAGCCTTCCACATTCCCCACCCCAATATCCAAAAGTAAGATTTCATTTTAAACTATTATGTAATCACCTCTGTGTACATTACATGAACACGTAAATCTGGACAAAACTTTTTTTAAATCAAATTAATGTATGTTGTAGTAAATGTTTGATTCTTAGAACATAATTTGATTTTTTTCTGGCTTCAAATTGGCAACCCCCTTGCCAAATGGAGTACTTCCAGGGGCAAGGGGTGGGACTTCTGGTGGCAAAGGTCATAGGGGGTGGGACTTCTGGTCAAAAGATAGTGACCAGGGGGTGGGGTGCCAGTCAAGAGGCAGGGCAACCCATGTGGCCCTTGACAGTTTGCCAAAATTTAGGAAGTGTCCCTCTAGCCAAAGTAATTGCCTGACCCAGCTTTAGCCTGGCCCTGCTCTATTCTGATCATAGATTTCATAGTTGTTAGAGTCCGAAGGGATTTTAGCAGATCATTGAGTCCCACCCCCTGCCCTAGGCAGGAAAGCGTGTTGGGGTCAGATGACTCCAGCCAGGTGTTTCTCCAGTCTCCTATTAAAGACTGCCAAGGTAGGGGAAGAGCACCACCTCCCTTGGAAGCCCATTCTATATTCTGATAATCCTGACCATGAAGAAGTTCTTCCTGATGTCCAATCGAAATCTGCTTTGTCAGTTTGCAGCCATTGTTTCTAGTCACTCCCCGTCCCCAATGAATTTGTAGACGACCACTAGATTACTTCTCAGCCTTCTTTTACAGAGGCTGAAGAAATTCAGGTCCCTCAATCTCTTCTCATAGGACCTTACCTGAAAGCTCCTAACAATATGAGCGGCCCTCCTCTGGAGCCTCAAGGTTGTTCACATCCCTCTTGAAGTGCGGCACCCAAAACTGGATCCAGCTGTGGTTTTACCAGTGCCACATAGAGGAAAGTATTAGATCTGTTCGTGATGTACCTGTTAATGCATGAAAGCGTGGTGTTACCTCTATTGATCACTGTGTCACATTGACAACTCATGTTCATCTTTGAGTCAGCTATGACTCTAAGATCCCTTTTCATTGCTGTGCTGCTTAGAAGGTCATCTCCCAATCTGTGAGTATGGTGGAGATTCCTTCTCCCTAGGTGCAGTACTTTGTACTTACCTTTATTAAACTGCATCCTATTTTGTTCTGCCCATTTGTCCAGCCTATCCAAATCTGCCTCAATCTGTTCCCTATCCTCCAGTGTGTTTACTTTGCCCCACAATG